CATTCAAAAACATCTAAACTTATTTTCTTTAACAATAAAAAACAGTCTACTTCCCTCCAAACACACAGAAAATCTATTTTAACTGTAAAAAATATCCTCAAAAATAAAGACCGGCTAAGACACTAATAGTATCAAAATAAAAAAATAGAAAGAAAACCACACACGCGCATCACCTTGTTAGTAAACAAAGCGCAGCGTGACAGAAAAACCGCCGGCATTTCAACGCAGGAGAGAGCATGAAGTACACACCCACAGCCGATATAACAGGTTCCCAAAGCCACTAATGGGGATGAAAAAGATAAGGTACGAGAGTAGATATGTGATTGTTTTAATGTTGAGGGTGGGAATGTTTGATGTTAAAGTAGAGAAATGAGATTTGTAAGAGATGTTTATATGTGAAGCTGTTGTCAGGCAGATGTCCAGGTGTGGAATGCAGGCTTGGGTACACAGATGGAGCACCGGAATTCCTCGATTTGTTGGACTTTTCTTATAACGATGTGAAATGAGGTATCTGTGACATGACACTTACTTCCGTATCTGTGACATGACACTTACTTCCTTATTAGGTACACACCCTTCTTTTTTCCTGATTTGTTAGGAGATGAGAGGTTATAACCGTATCAAAGCTAATCTAGTCTACTTGAAATATAACTTTAAAAATGATTATGAATTCATAGATCTATTGGTTCCTTTTACTTTTTAACAGGGACTGCATATTTATTAAAAACTGAAAGCTTATTTTATAAATAAAAGGCCCTAATGTTAACGACATTGTTACAAACAAACTGTGTATGATGATGTCTACGTATGATAATCATAGTTCACATCGACCAGGTGTTTATATTGGCCATGATAGCAGGAGGGGGTGTGGACTTTGTTTTTATTATAATATTTGAATTCAGTCTGAAATTATTGCAAGTGTTTGAACATGTTTAGAAGACCTCTGCATGTGTGTCACTAGCTTTCTACCATTCATCACAGCCTTGTCACCTGTTGGTGCTCGGACAAAGACCAAAAAACCCCCCACCATGTATTTTCTGGCAAGATAGAACTTGAAGACCAGCCAGATAATTTATCATCAAATAAGGAACCAATCCAAGCTCAGTCTTGGCAGAATATATATCGCATAGGTTTGTTTATCTTCTGCATGTCAAAGATTGCCATTGTGCAGTTGCTTAACATTACATTTATATTTATAGAGCTGTATGATTATGAGGAAGATCTGTTTTGAAAGCTACTGCAAAAGTCTTTTGCACATTTGTCCTGGTATATACCATCCCCTGTTGTCTCCCCATAAAAGAGCTGAAGCAGATTCCATCCCCTATATATAGTATTTAAGCCTATTCTTTTTGCAGCATTATCACAGCTGATTGGTGTTAGAAGCTTTTTTTTTTACCTGGAAATGTAAATGGTATACATCATGTGTTTGATGTACCTTTACAGTTGAATTATTATTGGTTATATAGGTAAAGCTTGCCTTCCGTTTGATCTTTGGATACCCATGTATGACTGGTTCTTGTTTTTATTGGTTTTTGTTGTATTTTGATTGTTCATACCAGATGATGCATTCATTTTACATAATAGCCATTGAAAATAAGAATCAGCTTTAATCATCAGTATATGTATATGTTTATCTATTCTCCACCATCATCTCTTTACAGCATATAAGAACCAACTTTTGCATGGAAGGCTGTGTTCGGATATGATTTTTAATGTGATGAATCTACATTATTTCAGACAGTGGTGGAAGGGAGTGGCAAGCTCGACTTTGGAGAGTATGAGCTTGAACTTTGGGATCTGAGGTGAATTTATATATATGCATTTTTTTCTCAATTTCTTTTCTGATTGATTGTTTCTTTAAGGTGAATGTAACAGAAAGAGAAACCTTTTTAGTAGCTATGCAAAGATGATCCTGTTAATTTATGATAGTTAATTTCTTACTTTATAAGAGGATTAAACCTGTTCAATTTTTACATAGAACTATTTAAAGATCAATTTGTATAGTGTCTGTCTGTTATACAAGTTCAGTTGCTTATTCCATGAATACTACTTGCAGGTATAACTCTATGCTTCAAGGACACGTCAAGAAAATGCAGGGTGGACGGAATAACAGTAAATCATGGTTGTGCGATTGGCTCAGACCCATGTGCCTGCCAATAACAATCATCGTCACATTGTCAATGCTGATTGTTGTGTGTAGCCATACTGGATGACAATGTGACAAACAACGAGGCCAAGCAGTTGAATTGTAATAAGTGCAGGTTGGTTGAAATTATGTTTCCATGTCTGTGAATTGTAATTTGTACTATCTGTTTTGTCTTATGAATATATGTGTATGTATATTGATTTTGAAGTGTTCTGTATTTTTGTAATAGCTTAATAATTTAGAAATGAGTCATGGATAAGGTATATATATGAGATACATCATGTATTTACTTTGCTGATTAATGATAATGTTAACCAATGCTGACAGGAAAATGTTTTGTTCACTTTAGTATTGTTTTGTCAAATATTTTTGTACGTAGATGGATCTGCCAATACATAGCACAAAGGAGTCCTTGAAACAGCAAGAAAATGCTTTTTTTTTCATTACTAACAGCAGTATTAAATACTAGAAAATATTATCGAAAATCAAGGAAAAGGGTAAACAGGTGAGGCAAGTACTTCATCTAACTGGCTCATTGGTGACTTAGTACTTGTGGAGCCATCTATATGTAAAAACAATTTCTAAATTAAACACAAAGGGGGCATGGCATGTATGCACATGCCATCCCCAATGTTAAGTGGTTAATGTAGGTAAGAGTGGTTTGGCAGAGACTTGTGGTTAATGCAATATATATTTTATAGATAACTTGTTAATGGGTTTATCTAGGAAGCAGTAAGATGTAAATTTAAGTTGATAAGTTTAGATTGTTTCAAAATCGTAACGACTTTCTGTCAGCCAAGGTAGAATTATTTGATAAGGATTTAAACATTATTAGAAGCTAGCTTTTTTTAAAATTCAGGTTTCTATAATGTATGTTTTTTTTTTCCAGTTTCCAGTTGGTTGAGAGCATCCCGGAGAACCTGACATACACACCTGGGAGTGTGCGTTATCCAAGTATCTACAATGCATGGGTTACTCTCATCAACAGTGCAGAAACCTCCATCGATATTGCGGCCTTCTATTGGACGCTCTTGTCTGTGGATGTTGGAAAGAAGCCCCATCCTCTGCTTGGGAAGGAGAGGATGTCTTGCATCGTCTTAATGTCACTGGTTAGTATAAGCATTTTAAGATGGACTGTTCTGAAATATTTGACATTCTTCTGGTTACTTGCTAAGGTGTTGAGAATTGGCACTGATTTATTTCCATGCAGAATATGTGCATTTTTTGTTAGGTTATTAAATGTATCAAAGGGATAAAAAGGGATACACTTATGTATATGCATATATACATATTTATAGTGCATACATAAACATAGAACATAATGATTTAGGTATTTTTGTTTTAACCAGTATTAATTTTATATAATGTTAACACAGTGCTATCAGGTATTACATGTAAATACATGCCATGCCTACTGTAAATTCAGCTTATTAATTCTCTTTACACATAGATGGCCCTGCAAGTGCTTTGTCACCAAGAATCAGATATTTGTACTACCTATCACACCTGTTTATCTTTGATTTTTGAAATATCATTTTTTTTTTAATTGCTATTAGTTTTGTTAATAACCTTTATGATGATCATAATGTCAGTAATAATAATTATAACATTGATGGTGGTAGCATTAGAAAGGAAAGCATTTTTCTCAAGACTTAGGGAAAAGAGAAATCAGGTGAGGCCAGTAGGTGTACTAAAGGACTTCATGGTGGCTGAGCAATGGTAAAACCATCTATGTGTTTGGCATTTTTCACAAAACAAAACTAAAAAAGAACATATTCCCAGCAGCATTGAGGTAATCTTGTAATTTGATGTGATACATATTCTTTTTCTCTCCCTTCAGGTCAACGCCCAAATATAGCAATTAGAATAGCTCAGAATGCACCATCAAGAGTGTCTCCGCAGCGTGACAGTGCAATGCTGGCAGAGGCTGGGCAGCAGAGGTATTGTTTTGGGCTTATTTAATTGTGCAAATGTTATAGTATGATGATAATATTGATGATTAGGGTATAATATTTTTATTATTGTTGTTATTCTAATTTTATTTCTGTTATTAGTTTTGTTGTATTGATGCTGTTTGTCTTTCTCTTTTATGCAAGGTCATCTGGCTCTCTTTTTATTTATTTTTTACTTATTTTTTTACTTTTATATTAGGTTTTGTATTAGGATTTACATTGAATAAAAGAAACGTAAGTAAGATAAAAAAAAAAACATTTACACTATTGAAAAAATATTGATACAGAGGTTTTTGTTCTTAGTATAGTCAAATATAGATAGTGCTTAAATAGAAATAGATTTCTAAATATATTGCTCTATATTGTTGAATATATGTAGATTTCTAAGTATATTGTTCTCTATCACTGAATGTAGATAGATTTTCAAATATTTTGATCTCTATTACTGCTGTCAGTACATGAAAGTCATCCCCAGGTTCGAAGTGTGAATTTCTCACATTTAATGGGTGCTGGCGTTCTGCATACAAAGATGTGGATCGTTGATGGCAAACACATTTATCTCGGAAGTGCAAATATGGATTGGCGATCCCTGACACAGGTAGGCAGAAGAGCCTTGCCTTGAATGTGTTAATAGTTTTTTGTTTTTTTGTCTATTAATATTTTTTCTTGTGGTTATATTGGATTTTATAAAATGTGGTCATTTTGTTTTGTGTTGTTGTTTTTTTTATAATGTCTTTTGGATTTACAGGTCAAGGAAGTTGGTATCTTGATTACAAATTGCTCGTGCTTGGCTGAAGACATGAGCAAGATCTTTGAGGTAATAGTGTTAGCAAAGAAAAGTTTGTTGTTTGATAGATTTGCCGTAATTAACTCTTAAAACAGAATGAACAGCTATTAAAAGT